CAGGCGTCGCTCTGGGCATCCACGTAGCTCCAGGAAATCGGGTTTCCTTACCTGGTGCACAAAGCCCTTGACCTGGCGCAGCTGGTCTGCCAACCAAGTGAGGGCACGGCCTGGAGTAGTCTCGGTGTTGTCCTTGGTAATCCAATCGTCGGGCAGGGAGGCCTCCTTGAGCTGGATAGGGCCTCCCCATGGCTGCGCCGACCTGGAGTCGCGATCCACAATGCCCTGGAAATCGGTCCTGCCCATGCCCATCCACTCCGAGTGGGCCTTGTCGACCATCGCCTGGTAGTCTGAGAGAGCGCGGCCCTGTCCCTCTGTCCCGCCATCCACCATCTGCTGGTAGGTCTCGTCGAGCATGTGCTGCACCTCGCTCGGTCCAGTCGGGGGGCTCCTGGCGGGGACCCGCGGGGGCCGTGGTGGGCAGGTGCGCCGTTGTGAGCGACATCCTCACCCTGGGCCACTCGGCGCGCTGGCGGAGCTGCAAGTGGACCACGTCGCGGGTCGGCACGCGAACGACGGGTCGGTGACGGGCTGCCTCATGGCCAGGCCTGATCGCCCACCCGTGGCGAAGGAGTCCCTGACGGAGTGGGTGCCACAGCTGCTGTGCCACGTCGGGTCCCGAGGGATGCGCACCTGGGTGCCTGGCGCTCGGAAACTTGCGAATCTTGCCAACTGGTCTATGTTCATGCCACCTCAGTTGTGGCGCGCCTGGTGCTCGCGCAGCTTGTAGAGGATGTCGAGGGATATGACATGATGACGGAGGAGGAGGAGTCCTGGTGTACTGATATCCAATCGCGACTGTTCAGTTTCCGGGTTCCCTCTTCCGCCTCCCTGGAGACACGCTTGTTCCACGCCGCCCATGGCTCCCACATATCAGCTTCTGTATTGTCTGTGTCTGGCGCTACTGCACTATTGTCTCATTTCTGATTGTGTGTTATGACTGTTGATTTTCCTCTTTTTACCGACAACCATGCGGACCATAATTCTCTGCGTGCGTTGCATTTGGCTGACCGGCTCCTGATTCAACACCCGTGCTTCGCAGCCGTACACCATACTCAAATAAACGCTGCTATCAAACAACTTCAGCCTTGAATGCATCGAGTATGTCTTACTCGTCAACTCGCCCCGGAGGCACATGAAACGCTTCCATGCCACTTTAATCCTGTGGTCGGAGGAGGAGCAGGAGGAGAAGGATGATAATGAGGATGCGCATCCGATTCGGAGGGATTAGGAAGAGAAAGGGGAGGAAGAGGAGAAGGAGGAGGAGGCGGAGGAGGTCTGATTCGGAGGACGAAGTGGAAGGAAAGATGACAAGACGGAGGCGAGGGAATATGACAGGAGGGCGGAGGGACAACGTGGCAGGATGATGGAGCAGGAGGGGATAAAAAACGACGGGAGGGCCAAGGACGACGACAGGAAGGAGGATGGGGGAACGATGATGACGAGGAAGACGAGGAGAAACCCGCCCGTGCCACCCGCGGCGCGATGGAGAACACGTGAATGCCCAGGACGTCGGCCATTTCCCTCGAGGAGCAGCACACCAGGTGAAGCCTGACCCTCCTTCCATCCCACAACCCTGCAACCACGAAGAAGGCGAGGAGGAACAGGAGAAGGAGGAGCAGGAGGAGGAGGAGGAGCAGGAAGATGAGGACCAGTGTAAACCGAAGACGTACCAATGATGTTGCAATAAACCATCTCTCCAATTCCCTCTTCATAGGTCCATCCAAGAATTTCCTTTCATGAAGGACGGGCCCCATTGGAAAACACCCGTCTGATAATCTGCAACCATGCCAGAATACCATTCCTGGGGAATCAGCACTGCAATCAGCGTGATTGTTGCGCCCTGACAATCGTAAATCGTGCCAGAAGTGATTTCCTTGATTTCGCTATCGCGAATCAACGTGACTGGTGTGCCCTCGCAATCCTGAATCGTGCAAAAAGCCTGGGGACCTGAACCAGACGAATCTTCGACACTGTGGCAAACTTTCAACATGAATGTGCGCGGCGTAAAATCGAGAACCACATTTTGAACAGGAGACGCCCTCCAGCCTAGGGTTTGAAGCCGCTGCGAACTGTCAAACCGAATGTGCGCGGCGCTAAGGTGAGAACCTCGTTTAGAAAACGCCCTGCTTTTCATCTTTGCAACCTCTAAGCTTTTAAGACGAATGCGCACGGCGCTGGACCGGTTGTCACATTTTGAAAAGGAGCCGCCCTTCATCCTTGGACTGCTACGAGCTTTACAGACGAATGTGCGCGGCGCCAAAGCGAGAACCACGTTCAGAAAACGACCCGCCCTCCATCCGTGAAGCTGATACGAACTTTGAAAACGAATGTGCGTGGCGCTAAAGCGAAGACCACATGTTGAACACCACCGCCCTCGGTTCGTGAAGCCGTCGTAATCTTCAAGTTCCAGGACCAGAAATGGTGAGGAGGTCTGGGGCAAAACGCCCTGCCCGCCCGACCAACACGTCTGGGAATGCGACAGTGAGAAATTATGTGTAAGGAAGAACAATGGAGGAGGAGGAGGAGGAGGAGGAGGAGGAGGAGTGAAATAATGATGAGGAGAAGGAGGAGGAGGAGGAGAAGGAGGAGGAGGAGGAGGAGGAGGAGGTGGAGGAAGAGGAGGAGGAGGACCAGGAGGAGGAGGAGGAGGAGGAGGAGGAGGAGGAATGCCCGGTGACGCCGACCTTGCCCCTCCCCCCAGCCAGCCCAGACGCACCGCCTCAAGAGACCGGCCCGCTACGAGTAGGTCCGCGCGCCCACTTTGAAAGAAACGGCGCTGCTGGATGCAGCGGTTGACGAGTGGGGGGGCCCCGAGCCCAGCTTTTCATCCCCCTCCTCCGGCTGGGCAACCGAAGCATTCGCGCGGTGGCACAAGCGCGCCGAGGCCGCGCTGAAGACGGCAGCCGCCTTAGGTGTGACCAGCGTCGCCCGGGCAGTCGAGCGACCGAAGGGCGTTTCGACCGAAACGCGGCCCGTGGCCCTTTGTGGCCCTTCGCGGGGCGAGGCCACGATCCGCGAGCGTCGCCTGCTTCGGTTCCACAGGTTGTTCGTGGCGGCCGGGAGGACTGGTCACCCGCAAGTGGGCCACTGCCTGCCAGGATGGGTTGCTCCTGGGCCCCCTCCCCCGTAATCTCGGCGAGGCGGCCCAAGCTCTGTCCCAGGCGCTCGTTGCCGGAACTAGGGTCACCCAGCAGCGCGCCCTCGAGACGTGGCGGTTTCAGTTCCGCAACTGGGGCGCCCGCGCTGCGGCCGTGGCCGCGCGGGCGACGCGAGGGCCCGAGCCTGCCCCAGTCTTCTCGGCTGAGGATATGCGGCGGCAGTGGGAGCCGTGGTGGGTATTACCTGACTGTGGAGGCGCCCCCCTGGACTGGGTCGGGTCCCCGAAGTCTCCGCCTGGCGCACCCCCTCCTTCGCGGCCTTCCAGCGGGCCCTCCGGGACACTCGCGGCGGGGCGGCTGGGCTCGACGGGCGGGGGGCTTCTTCATTGCAGGGCCTCTCGGACCACTTCCCTGGCCTCCTCCACGAGCTCTGGGCCATCCTCGTCGCCGCAGTGGAAAGGGGCGCCAGCCCCTGGCCCGATGAGCGCGCGCGGGCTTTCGCGGCCTCGCGGGTGGTGGGCATTCCTAAGCAGGGGTCCGACGATGCCCGGCCGATCGATCGGGCCGGTCTGGATGAGAGCGCGGGGCCGTTCGGGGAGAGGGGCGCCGTGGTCTCCGTGGCTGACTGGGCCGCTGCGCTCGGCGACGCGGGAGCTGAGGTCGACCTGGGCCAGGCTTGCGACTCGGTGGACCACGGCGTCGCAGGCGCCGCCCTCAGGCACCAAGGTACACCGTCTCTGGTCGCGGCTGCCCTCGAGGAGGTCTGGCGGGTCCCCCGGTATTGCTCGGTGGCTTGGGACATTGCTGTTGCGTTACACCCTACTCGGGGCGTGCCGCCTCTGGTCGGGTCCTCAGCGTGGTGCTCTGCCCATGGCACAACGCTGTCCGTTCGGTGCCCAAGTCGCGCGCGTGGTCCTACGTGGGCGACCGGTCTCTCAAGGCCGCCGCGGCGGTTGATCGGAACAGGGCCTTAGCGATCACTGCGGAGATCGACCAGCGGCCCGGCTTTTCGGAGAACATCAGGAGACGGCAGGTTTGGTCGGGCACCCAGAGCGCCGAGCACTCATGAGTGCGGGCCGTTGTCGGCGACGCCGCGACCTGGTCCCAGCTGCCTGAGCCTCGGGGCGGATGGTACCAGATCCGTTCCCAGGTGCGCCGGCTCCGCGTCCCCGGCGGGCAGCGGATCAGGGAGCTCGCAGCCCTGATGTGTATCGCTCCTAAACATCTGTAGTCGGCTCCGTCCTGCGCGATCCCGCCATGTGACCTGATCGCCCTCGCGCCCAGGTCTGTTGTCTGGACTCGTTGCGCCCGGTGGTGCGCTCGGCGATGGTGCGCCGAACGGGTTTCGTTGCACCCAGTTCCTCCTCCCCTCCCCTCTTGCTCCTCCATCCTCCTATTGTACTCCTCCTCCCCCCCCCCTCCACCTTCTGTCAGGGACGACTGGGGAGGGGGCACACTGGATATCGAAGGAGGATGGGGATGGACGAGGGCATCGAAGCTTGCTCGATCCTGCCCGCAGCGTCAGCGTCAGGAGGAGGTAGAGGAAGGAAGGAAGAAAGGAGGGAGGAGGGAGGACGTCATCTTGGATCCCGATGCCATCAGCACCAGCAACAGGAGGGAGGAGGACGAACAGCAGTCGCAGGAAAGAGACAAAAAGCAGGAGCAACGCGCGAACATGCGACATCCGCGACGTCCACTCCCCCCCTCCACTTCTTTCGGGCTGCGCCGTACTGCCAACCCCTTCGGCCGCCGCCGCCGCCATTGCCACCGCTGCCGCCGCCGCCGTCGCCACCGAGGCCGACGTCATCGTCGCCGTCGTCGTCGCCGCCGTCGCTACCGCCAATCTCGTCGTCGTCGTCGTCGTCGTCGTCCTCGTCGTCGTCGCGCGCGCACGATCTGCATGGGGCCCCACGGGCGCTCCGCGGCTCACCGGCGCGCGGGCCGCGCCCTCTCGCGCTCCGCGGCGAAGAGCAGCGTCTGGGCCCAGCCGGCGAAGGCGCCGTAGCGCTCCCGGAACAGCTCCCCCACCTCGGCGTGCACCCGCGGCGTGAGCGCGCCGCCGCGCAGCCTCTGCGCCAGCGGCGGCGGCGCCAGCGAGCGGGCCGCCAGGCGCGCCACGTGCACGTCCACCGGCACCGCGTCCGCGTGCCTGGGGAGACCAAAAGGTACCGATACCGCTATCGCTACTCCCCGGACCTCTCCCGGGGTGCGTTCTGACCAGGACCTCGAGGCGGATCCAACGGTGGAGACGAGGGCCTCCGAGGAGGCCCGACAAGGGGAAAACGAGGGGAGGGTAGAGGCATGGCTACACGTCGTTCATTTCTTGTCGTGCTCATTTCTAATCGTGCTCGTTTCTAATTGTTCCTGGCCCCACAGTGGCCAGGAAGAGGCCCAGGATAGAGCAATTAGAAATGAAAGGATCTTGGCCCCCCGGAAATGAACAGTGTGTATCTTTTCCTACTCTGAGTGCCCCAGGCCCAGCAGCGCCACGCACGCGGCCACCTTGGGCCCCACGCCCGGGAGCCTCCGCAGCTCCGCCTCGGCCGTTGCGCGGCCGCAGGCCGGCGCCGCCAGCGCCTCCAGCCACGCCCGGCCGCCGCCCTCGCGCAGCTGGCGCGCCGCGCCGCGCACGAAGCGGGCCCGGTAGCCCAGCCCCAGCGACAGCAGCTCCTCCGCCGAGGCCCCGGCGAGGGCCTCCACCGCCGGGAAGCGGTGCAGCGCCCCGCGCTGGTTGAACTCCAGCGCGTGCTGCCGGGGCACGTCATCCGCGCAGAGGCCCGCGGGCAGCGGCGAGCCGCCCGCCAGGGGCTCGCCGAGCGCGGCGCGGAGGCGGTCCACCATCAGCGTGATGCGGGCCACGTTGTTGTTGGAGGAGCAGATGAAGGAGAAGAGCGCCTCTCGACGATCCTCAGCACGTGTTCGCCAGCGCCAACGTGTCCCGTGTCCGCACCGAAACCTCTCACCACAACGCAGACGGCGCCACGAGGGCTGGGACAGGCCGCGTGCCATCGGCGGAGCGGAACGGGGTACACAGTTACACAATGGGCGAACACGCGTCCTGGGGACCATCAGTGAAGGGGCCCATGGACACGCAGATAAATAGACACAAATCCCAGGATTCCCCAATTTTCCGTCTTCTCTGGATGCTCGTCTCCCGCTCCACTTCCCAGATTTCCAATCTTGCCACGGGAATCGGCGATTCTCTTTGTATCTGCGCGTTTCTTCACTCCGGAATCGAGCCTCCACGGGGTCCAGCCTCAACACCCGCAGGCCGGGAAGCGCCCGCGCCGCGGTCGCGGCCCCCTCGTCCCGCGCGGCCCACTCGGCGCGCAGGCGCGCCAGGCTCGGGGCCGAGGGGCCCGCGTTGAGGTGGTGAGGCTTTGGGCTGCGCGCAGACAGCCCCCCCCGCGCAGTCCTGGCTGGCCTCATCAGGCCCCCCGAACACGAGACGAAGCCAGGACGACACTCGCATCGTGTGAGGATACGTCGAGAGTCTCTGGGATCTGGCGGCCCTGGAAGATGCCTCGGGCGCCGCGGCCTCCTCGGAGCGCGGCGGAACGCTCCCCGAGAGCGTTCCAGAACGCTCTGGAACGGAGTTCTCCTCGTCCTGGCCCCGTCCGACATCGGGCCCCCCGAATAGCCCAGGGCCGTCTCGACACCCCAGCCCCTGGGGAGCCGAGCGCACCGGGGGCGCCGCCAGAAGCGGCGCCAGGGCGTTGAGACCGCCCTGGAGCCCCGCGAGGAGGAGGAGGAGGAGGAGGAGGAGGAGGAGGAGGAGGAGGAGAAGGAGGACCAGTGTAAAACCAAGAGTCATTAACGATGTCGAAATTAACCCTCCATCCAAGCTCCCTTTCATAGGCCCCCACAGCTGTTCATTTCTATTGAGGGAACTGCCTCGTGGGAAGACAACCGTTTGAAGATCCCGGAGCGTGCCAAGACATTTTTCTCGAGATTTCAACGCCACGTACCAACCCGACTGCTGCGTCTTGACGATCCGGAATCGTGCCAGAAGGCATTTTTTGGGACTTCAACACCGCGAATCAACATAACTGTTGCACCCGCATAATCCTGGATCCTTCCAAAATAAATTCTTGTACGTTGATCATGGGCATCCGGAATTAGACTTCTGCACTTTGTTGAAACGAATGCGCGCGGCGCTAAAGCGAGAGACACATTTTGAAAACCACCCGCCCTAGATCCGTGAAACTCTTGCGAATGTTTAAAACGAATGTGCGCGGCGCTAAAGCGAGAACCGCATTCTGAAAACCAACCGCCCTCAATCCCTGAAGCTCTTGCAAATGTTTACAACGAATGCGCGCGGCGCCAAGGCGAGAACCACATTTTGAAAACCACCCGCCCTCGATCCGTGAAACTCTTGCAAATGTTGAAAACGAATGTGCGCGGCGCTAAGGCGAGAGCCACGTTTTGAAAACCACCTGGCCTCAATCTGTGAAGCTCTTGCAACTGTTAGAATGAAAGTGCGTGGCGCTAAGGCGACAACCACATTTTGAAAAGGGACCGCCCTCCATCCGTGAAGCTCTCGCACATGTTCAAAACGAACGTGCGCGGCGCTAAGGCGAGGCCCACATTTTGAATTCCATCCGCCCTCAATCCGTGAAGCTCTTGCAAATTTTCAAAACGAATGTGCGCGGCGCTAAGGCGAGAGCCACAATTTGAAATCCACCCGCCCTCAATCGGTGAAACTCTTGCACATGTTTACAACGAGTGTGCGCGGCGCTAAGGCGAGAAGCACATGTTGAAAACGACCCGCCCTCCATACGTGAAGCTCTTGCCAATTTTAAGCTTCAGGGTCGTCCAAAGGTGAGGAAGTCTCATGCGAAACGCCCGACCCTCCCTAAAAAAATGGCCTCAAGGTGAGACAGGGAGGAATTATCTATAAAGAGAAACCGGCTCGGAGGGCCTGCTGAGGCCAGCTGGGGCTCCTCGGGGGGGCCTCGTGAGGCCAGCCAGGCCTTCCTGGCGGGGCTGCTCGTGCGCGACCCGAAGCCTCACCACGCTGAGGTGCCCGAGCAAGCCCTCCAGGGAGGCGGGCCCGCCCGGGCCGCAGACGCGGCGGGCCTGCGTGCCGCGCGGGCCCTGCCGCAACAACCACGCCTCGCCGGCCACGACGCCCAGCCAGCGGTCCGGGCCGACGCGCTTCCACTGGAAGCACTGGCCGCACTCCAGGGCCGCGGCGGGTGGGCCGCGGCTCGTGGGCGAGAGACCCACGTCCGTATCCGCGGCCTTGCGGGCTGGGGCCCTGGCGGCCGCGACCCAAGCGGTGCTTGCCGCGGATGCCCCCCGCGCGGCACGCAGCCGTGCAGCCGCGCCTCCGCGCAGGCCGCGGCGGCGCGGACACGGATCGGCTCGCCGCTCGTCGGCAGCCTCCCGAGGGGCACTGCCCCCTGCAGCCCTCCGGACGCGTGAGCCGCGCCGAGCGTGTCTGAGACATGTCTCCACGGTGCCCCCCCAAAAGGCAGCAGGAGTGCCGACGCGAGTGCCAAGGCCGCACCCCGCGTTAACACCCCGCGGCCCCCCGGCCTCGGGGATCTTCTGACCCGGGTCAATCCAGACCCGGGTCAGCAGGAAACCAAAAAACTGCAATGCAGGAACAAACACCGCAACGCAAGTCTTCGCAAACCCGGGCCGGCCAATGTGCGCGGCCGCCTCGCGGCCACGAGCAGCTCGCCAACCCGGGTCAGCCAGGGGGGGTCTTCGCAGGATCCTGCAGGATCCGGTGCCCTGGCTGACCCCCGTTTGCATCAAGGGCTCCCAACTTCGCGCTTCGCGCTCCGCGAAGCGCGAAGCGCGAATAACTTCGCGCTCTCGCGCCGCCCCCCCAAAGGGAGAAAAGGAGGACGAGGAGGAGGGGGAGGAGGAACGAGGACCGCGAAGCGCGAAGCGCGAATAACTTCGCGCCCTCGAGGGAGCCCTTGGTTTGCATCGACCCCCGTCTCTTGAGCCCCGATGGCCCCTCTTAAGGGCCACGGCCCGGCCCCGAGGGCCCCGAGGGCCCCCGGGGAGGGCCCCAGGCACGGCCCCCCGCGGCCGAGGAGCACCGCCCGTGGCCTCTCGGCGTCCCCCCGGGCATCCGGCGCACCGACTGGCCCGTGCGAGGGCCCCCTCCCAGGGACCCCTGATTGAGGCCCAGAGGTCCGATGTCGTGAGCTCTTCCATGCGGGGTCCCCGGAAGTCTGGACCCATCCCCCAAGACCGGTTCTCCATCCGAGTCGTTCTTGACGGTCCCGGGGCCCGGCGAGAGTGTCATAAACAAATCGATGATCTCGGATGTCTGTACTTTACAAAATGATGCTTCTCGTATCGAGACGAGCTTCGACAATCTCAGCTCAGAAATGGACGCTGGTTCCGGCGCTGTGGAGTCGGAAATTCAAGCCCAGAAGGTCCAGATGGAAGAGTTACATGCCGCTCAGTTGAGAGGTAAGCAACGTACAAATTCATTTTCGGGAACGGCGAAGCCCGACGGCTACAACGATGTCGAAGCTGAGTGAATCTCAAAGATGGCCAAGCTCGAGGTCCAGTTTGGCAAACTCAACCACAATCTATTCACAGCTGCCTTCGGTGGCCTCAGTGGTCAATGGAACGAGGCTGACGCCTGCAAATGGCTGTGCGGCACGCTCTCTGCGGATGGGGGGCCTCTCCCAGGCGCAGTGTACGCGAAAGAACCATTCACTGACATCTTGTTTGCGCAGTTTCTGACAGAGGCAAACAAGGAAATGGCGATCAAGAAGATACGAGACGGCGGTCATGAATGGAGTGGCACTCGCATGTGGGCTAAAATAGATCGCCCCTTAGAGGAGCGTCTGCCAGAGTCGTTCGCTTTCTCTGTGAAGGTCCTCGTAGAATGGGGTTGGTCGAAATCTGCTCTATTCGTGGATCGTGACACCGCCAATCCTCTACCTCGGGATGGACAAATTGATGTCGTCTCACGTATGCGGCGACATGTTCGAGGTCGATTTCGGAGACGGGTGGAAGGAGTATCTGCAGGCACCCGAGTTGCTGACATTTTCACCAATGACCAATGCTCAAGAGAAGGTCACAAAGAAGGCCCAGTTGAAGGGGAAGGGGCAGAAGAAAGACAAGAGCAAGGCCAAGGCATCCTCATGGATAGCAACAGCCTAGGGACAGCACCGATCGCGGGCAAGTAGAGACAGCAAAGAATTGATCGACATGAGGGGTGACAGCGCTGAATTCGAGAATTTTGACATGTTCGAATTGTTCTACCAGAATGCTCGTGTACATACGCATGATCGGCAATCTCAGTTGTTGGCCGAATTGGAAGATGTTTCGTGGGACGTTGTGTGCATGACTGAAACCAGGGCGCAAACTGCGGACCAAGAGCTTGTCGGAGGGCACTGGTTCATATCACACCTCGCCGAGTACAAGTACGCAGGTGTAGCTGTGCTTGTTCATCATCGATATGCTAATTTCGTTGTGGGCTACAGGGGGTTCGAAGGCAGGGTGCTCGCTGTAGACATCAACGCTGGACATCAGAAGGTGACCGTTCTGAGCGTATACTTAACGCACGCTGGACATCCACATGATATTTTATTATATTGTTATGCTCAGATGGCTTCAGAAGCGCGCCGTGCGAGACGCCTTCAAATGAGACTTGTGGCTGGGGATTTCAACACGCAAGCTTTCAGTGGACACAGGGGGGGAGCACTTCAGCAACTGTTTGTTTGAGAACAACTCAAATGCTGGGAATATTGACGACTCTGCTAACGAATTAAGCGATGTGCAATGGGCGTTCCGTTCCAGTCTCTGGTTGAAGCGGCGAATCGATTTTGTCTTATTTGACTCCTACGTTCTGTACACAGGATGCCCGCCAGTAGACTACCTGGACCTCGGATCTGATCACCGAGCTGTGAGAGCCAGCATCTGTTTCCCAGGTTTGACTCCGAAACACCACTCCAGGAGCTGCCATAAAAAACGGTGGGCGCCAAATCCCGATCAAGGTGGTGTCGACATCAAATTTTCTGAGGCTGTGAACGCCCACATGGCCGATTCTGCTTGCAATACGCTTCGTGACGTCGAACGCGTTATGGCAGCATCTGCAACAATTTGCGCGCGGGGTGGCGCATGCGAAGCCAACGCCAAACCGTGGAACACTGAAAATCTCCAAAGATTGCGACATCAGCGTCGTCAGTGTAAAGACCAATCAGAGCGGCGTAAACTGTCCAAGTTGATCAGCAAAGAACATCGGAAATTACCCCGGCAATTCTGTGATATGCGAGCTGTGAAGATACTGCTTGAGTTCAGAGGCGTGAAAAAGCTTCCAGAGATCCACATGCACCCGGTCAGGCCGAAAGTGCACTGCCCAATCGACAACGATGAATTCAAAGCGTCCTTGAACGAAGTTCTGAACACGGACCTGCCGGAAGAGAGGGAGGAATTGATCGACGAGATGTGCAACCGAGGCCCGTACGACCATGGACGAGTTGCGATTCGCACTCCGCAAGATGCGTCGAGGCAGATGTTCCGATTCAGCTGGGATTACTTTGGAAATGTTTCTGTACTGTGGGGACGGCCTGCTTCAATCGATGCAGGGGTGCTTGAATTCCATACTGCGTACAGGAGTCGTTCATCCAGACTGGCAAGAGACTCTTTTTGTCATGCTCCCCAGGGGTGACAACAGACGTGAGGCCCCAAACTGGCTACCCATAGCGATTCTGCGCATTACGTCCAAGATTTTTGCACGTCTACTTTTCCAACGTCTTCAACCACACCTCGAGAAACAGCAGTGTCCACATAATGCGGCTTTCGCCCAGGAGGATCAATTGATGATGCATTCATTGTTCTGGAAGGCTCATGTTGCAGATCGTGCGAGCGGGGGCAAACGCTTTGGATCGTTAGCCTCGACTTGACCAAGGCCTTTGACCGCATCGAGCACCCGCTGCTTTTCAACGCACTGGACGAACAGGGCGTGCCCTTGGAGTACATCCGGCTGCTATCATATACATATCACAACCAACGCGGAAGCGTCAATGGCAGTGGGCTTTTTCATATCACCAGGGGCGTCAAGCAAGGAGACGTGCTGTCGCCGCTCTTATTCAACCGCGGTTCAGAACACGTCGTGAGGCGACTCAAAGACCGAGTTCGTGGGAGCGGCATCGACGCAGGAGGGCCAGAACGATTGGCCAACATACGGTACGCGGATGGTCTGTTGCTGTACGCCACGACTGCCAGCGAGGCAGTGTTCCTGCGGAAGGTGTTGTGCGAAGGGCTGTCGAGGTGAGGCCTCGCGCTGAACGCAAGCAAAGCCAGGGTGTTCACGGACGACGCTGGGCACTCCGTGGGTGCGTGTGCTCTGACGGTGCCTTTCGGTGAGCAGAATCTACCCGTTGTGCTTATTGGGAGTCCCGAAACGGTGCGCTGATAGACCGTGCGGTGACCTCGAAATCCCCCAAGACCTCACCGCACGGTCCGTCACCGCACGGTCTTGGGACCTCGGAGGCCCCTGTCGCCCGAGACGCCCTCGGAGGAACGACCCGAGTCCCAAAACCGTGCGGTGACCCCGAATCCCCACCGACTCACCGCACGGTGTGGTCACCGCACCGTTTGGGGGCCCCCGAGCTTAACACGGACATGCACGCGTATTTGGGGCGGAAGTTGTCCGGGAAAACGATGGATAGATCAAACATCAATCTTGTCTACCGCATGGAGTGCGCGTGGGCCAACTGCCATGCGAACCGGGCGGTTCTCACCAACAAGAACATGTCTGTCAAGCTGCGGCTTCGTCTTTTTGACAGCGTGGTCTCACCTACAGCCACGTATGGTCCAGCAATTTGCGCGCTGACGCAGCAACAACGCATGAGGATTACACCCACGAGATCCACACTGCTGCGCAAAGTCGTGGGTTTTTGGAAGCGGCCAGGAGAAGATTGGGAAGACGCTGGCAGACGCTGCAAACATCGACTTCGAAACGCGCTTTCTCAGCATCGTGTTTTTGACTGGTTGCAGATTATTGACAGAATGCAGTGGCGGCTAATTACAAAGCTTTTCGAGACGATTTGTCTTGGCCGAAGACAGTCATGGCATGGATTCCTTTCTCTGGCAAGCGATCCCGGGGACGCCCGAAGATCAAGTGGACAGGGAACGTCGACAAATATTTGAAGGTTGAGCATGGCACGTCGCTAATTGTCACGAGTATCACATGGCAC